ACGTGAACGTCCCGATAATTACTTTAATCGACTTTAATTAATACCCTCTAATCACACGATCCCCTGGACCAAAAGATCTTGTTGTATTAGGTTGTAAAGTGGGTCGTGAGAATTTTTCGTCGTTCTGTTTAAAAATGCACAATGCACCGATTGACTTAAGATTTGCTTCATTAGAAAGAACAAGTATCCACATTGTGGCACAATGTTCACCTCAGTTTTTATGAGTTTGGAAATGCTGGGAAAAGTTTAATAACATTTATTTCAAAGCTTTTAGGATAACCAATGCAAAAACTGATTGGAAAAGCTTTTCCTCTCAACAAGAAAAATCTCTGAAGATGTGTCTCAGAATGTGTGTAATTCATGAATCAACAAACATACACAGAAATGGGCAGAAGTATAAATGATGGTAATTTGTACATGTGCTTTGAAAATGGGAAAAGAACGACACAAAGCACATACACAAATTCCTATCATTTACACCGAAACCACTAGGGAGCCAAAGAAACTGTGTACTTTTTTACTGTGTACTTTTTTTTGTCCTTTTGCAAAAAAAAAATTCTCAATGCTAGAGAGGCTTATATTAGGTTGTAAAGTGGGTTGTGAGAATTTTTTTCGTCTTTCTGTTAAAAACTGCACAATGTGTCGATTGACTTAAAATTTGCTTTGAATAAAAAATGTTTATTGTTTATTTTTGCATCTTTTTTACACAAATTTGAGTGGAGTTTAGGGTAAAATGAAAAAAAAGGCTCGTTTTTCGAAAAATCACATAAAAGGTTGTAGAAAGAGAATGATTGGATCGATTGTTTCGAAATTTTGGCTATTTATCTAATTTTTTATACTCTATCTTTTTTCTATTGACACCAAAAGGGGTTTCTTCAGAGCTAAGTGCTCCAAATTCCAACATGACATGTCACAATTTATGAGTACCCTATTTCTCGCCTCTCAAAAAAATTCAAATTCAGAAGTTGTTGTCTAGAATTTGAAAGCAATTTTTTAGAGGAATAATTGTTCTTTCTAATGAAGCAAATCTTAAGTCAATCGGTGCATTGTGCATTTTTAAACAGAACGACGAAAAAATTCTCACGACCCACTTTACAACCTAATACAACAAGATCTTTTGGTCCAATGGGGATTCAAAAAATCTCAATTTTCCCTTTTTTGCGGGCTTTTCAAATGATCCCAGAAATCAACTTGCAAAGCGTATCAAATATCAAAATAAAATCATAACTTTATTTAACAAAATGTGAAAAACAATATAAATGAACTATCTTATAAAGAATTTTCGAAGTGGTTCCCCTGCGCTTTGCTACAGACCTTCAGGCGTGGAATCACTGCCTCCACCGTGCGCCGCAAGTAGTTGGAATCTAAATCGGTCGAGATTTTCTTGAGTTCTCGCTTGAGTCCATCCAAAGTTGTGATTTTTTTGCCTTTTAACTTCTCTTCAGATAGAAAAATTGAGCGCATTTAGATCTGGGCTATTTGAAGGCCATTTTTCTTTGGTGAGGTAGCCTGGAAAGTTATGCTTCAGAAAGGCAATCGTTGTCAGGGCTCCATGCGCAGGTGCCGAGTCTTGTTAAAACACAATGTTGTCATGTTTTTGCTTCCAAGGCATTCCAATCAATTTTTGGTCGATTTTTCGGATGATGAATTCGACCAATTTTTGCATAAAATTTGTCTTTCGAATTTGTGCTAGATTGTGTTGCAAAAATGGAAATTGTGTGCCAGAACTACCAAAAATCCATTTAATTCATCACTGGAGCTCAAATTTAAATCAGAAACCTCGTGATCTTTTTGCAGGTAAACTTCAAGATATTTAGCTAGAAAACTAAATATTTCATCAAAATAAATGCAAATTTTATGAGATATACAAATCACCGGGCAATAAAAATACAAATTAGAAATAACTTGTACACTTAAAATACAGGCAAACTTCAAGATGGTGTTCCAGAGACAAGTGGCTCACTTTGCGTATTTGGAACTTTTTTTGCGCTAAGTTTTGATGGCGCATCGTGGTGCCAGAATTGATTTTGACGGGCAACCCATTGACACAAAGCTGCTTTTTTTAATTTCATGAATAGGGGATCGTGTGATTAGAGGGTATTAATTAAAGTTGATTAAAGTAATTGTCGGGACGTTCAAAACGACTGGATCTGTTGACCTAGCTCCAAAATCGTCCACCAATTACAACACCCAGAGAGGATAAAGAGCTAGTCAAAGCTCACAAAAATAACAAAGATCTCAATGCGAGCGATAAAGTCGTCATGATGAAGAGTCAATCGGCAAGGATGTATCCCGAATGACAGTTAGCCGACGCTTGATTCGTGGTGGATTGGTGACAAGAAGAGCAGCCAAGAAGCCCTTGATGAATGCCAAGCATCGGAAGATTCATTTGGAGTTTGCAAAGATGTATGCTTCCTAGACGGCAAATGTCATCTTTACTTTTTACTGATGAGACAAAGGTCAATCTTTTTCGCCCTGATGGCAATCACTTGATCAGAAGACCAGTAGGAAAGCGGTACAACATCAGGTATGGGCGATCAACCGTGAAATTAGGCCAAAGATCAATCATGCTTTGGGGTAAGGGCTACTTTTATGGTCCATACTCTCAATTCTGTCTTTTAGGTGCAATGTCGAGAGATTCACCAGGTCCGCTAGCGCTACTACTCAACACTCAACGCTGAAGGCTACAAATCAGCTCTCCAGAATCATCTTCTGCCATTCTCAGCTGCAAACATGGGTCCTGGATGGTTGCTTTATCCGTATAATGCGCCTTGCCACAAGAGCCAATTGTTAATGGACCGGATCGTCACTCTCGCAAATGGTGAAAAGCTCGTCTTTCAGGATGGTTCAAAGAAAATCGCTTCAAATGCACCGATTGACTTAAGATTTGCTTCATTAGAAAGAACAATTATTCCTCTAAAAAATTGCTTTCAAATTCTAGACAACAACTTCTGAATTTGAATTTTTTTGAGAGGCGAGAAATAGGGTACTCATAAATTGTGACATGTCATGTTGGAATTTGGAGCACTTAGCTCTGAAGAAACCCCTTTTGGTGTCAATAGAAAAAAGATAGAGTATAAAAAATTAGATAAATAGCCAAAATTTCGAAACAATCGATCCAATCATTCTCTTTCTACAACCTTTTATGTGATTTTTCGAAAAACGAGCCTTTTTTTTCATTTTACCCTAAACTCCACTCAAATTTGTGTAAAAAAGATGCAAAAATAAACAATAAACATTTTTTATTCAAAGCAAATTTTAAGTCAATCGACACATTGTGCAGTTTTTAACAGAAAGACGAAAAAAATTCTCACAACCCACTTTACAACCTAATATAAGCCTCTCTAGCATTGAGAATTTTTTTTTTGCAAAAGGACAAAAAAAAGTACACAGTAAAAAAGTACACAGTTTCTTTGGCTCCCTAGTGGTTTCGGTGTAAATGATAGGAATTTGTGTATGTGCTTTGTGTCGTTCTTTTCCCATTTTCAAAGCACATGTACAAATTACCATCATTTATACTTCTGCCCATTTCTGTGTATGTTTGTTGATTCATGAATTACACACATTCTGAGACACATCTTCAGAGATTTTTCTTGTTGAGAGGAAAAAGCTTTTCCAATCAGTTTTTGCATTGGTTATCCTAAAAGCTTTGAAATAAATGTTATTAAACTTTTCCCAGCATTTCCAAACTCATAAAAACTGAGGTGAACATTGTGCCACAATGTGGATACTTGTTCTTTCTAATGAAGCAAATCTTAAGTCAATCGGTGCATTGTGCATTTTTAAACAGAACGACGAAAAAATTCTCACGACCCACTTTACAACCTAATACAACAAGATCTTTTGGTCCAGGGGATCGTGTGATTAGAGGGTATTAATTAAAGTCGATTAAAGTAATTATCGGGACGTTCACGTTGTGGCAATTCTTTTGTGTACTTGTTTATCCATCTTTTTTCACGTCGGTATTTCCATAGAGTTTAGCCCATTTCTGTGTTTACTGATTCATGAATTGCACACATTTTGAGACTATACATTTCTCCAGAAATTTTTCTTTTTCATTCTAGCATGATGTGTGTGAAGGACGCGTGTACCAACTAAAAATAGACTCTGTATTTTGAGCTGAATTAATTTCTTTCTTCCTCTTCAATATCGTTTTTCAACCATGAGAGAACCGTTTCCTTTCGTTTTTCACTTTCAAATAATATCATCTAGAGTTTTCTATAGCATAGATGAGCATTAAGTTTCCTTTCTTTTTCCTCCTTTTATCTACAGTCTATAGAAAAACAATTTAGCGATGCACAAACTTTTGGTGGCGATGATGGTGATGATGACTGTGACCGTTGCCCTTTCGCCGAGTACCATCCACGAAAAAGAGGTTAGTAAGAAAACGAGTTCCCCGTAGTAGGTTGTAACAACAAAAAGGGAAAAGAGAGATTGTCCCGCACCCTTAAACCTTAAGTAAAATAACTTCAATTTTCCGAACCCCTTTGATGGTTATTAACGAGGTTCAACGGCTTTATTTTGATTCAGTTCAATTTCAGCAAGTGCCAGTCGATTTTGATGCAGCTTTAATCCCGCTTCGCAACTATTTCATCAAATATTTCTTTTTGGTGGTGATGATGGTGATGGCGACTTTGACCGTTGCTCTTTCGTTGAGTACCATCCACGAAAAACAGGTTAGTAAGAAAACGAGTTTCCCCCTGTTATATTTAAGCTCTCAAAAAGTATACGTTTTACCAAACAATAAACTATTAAAACACATCACAAAACACAACAGCTCAGTGCAATATGTTTTATGGTTACGCTAGCGAAAAAAAAAGAAACAAAGTTTCTTAATTTCAGCGTCATTAGATTATTAAAAAATGTTGTTAACACTTTGTGAAAACAAACGAAAAACTCGGTTTTTGATGTGTGGGGCTATCATTTTTCAAAGAGAAACACGTTTTGATAATTGTTGAATCTATTTGATGGCAAAAACTGTAGATTAATCGTTTTAAAAATTAAACTCTAAAGATACAGACATTTTCAATAACAGCCCGATAGTTTTAAAAAAACTGAAGAAGTTATCTTTTTTCCCAAAGTTGGTAGCTTAGAACTTTTGGACGATGGGTGAAAATTAGAAGAATCCTTCTACTAGAGTACCAACTTCTAGTACAAGAGTAAAGGAGTACAAAAAGACAACAGGATTACTAGAAGGGGAATAGAGAACCCGGTTACTTAATTACAGTATTTACGGTAGAAATATTTCTTATCAAATTATTTATTTTTCTTTATCCACGACTCAATGTGTTGCGTAGAAGTTTTAGTTGGAGAGCCAATCGCCGATTTGCACCCTTCGATAGCTTCCAACAACGACAGCCGGCACTTCCACTGATGAGAGTTGCTTGGCATTGATCAAAGCATCCGGCCTTCTTCCAGTACTTTTCCCAAGCAATCAAAGCCATGTCAAATACAACCGGATTCATCTGAATTTTACTCAAATTAAATTTTCTTATTGAATTCAGAGTTGAGAACATTTGCAGGTTACGAACATCAAAAATGATGCTTGTGAATTGGTAAAAGGTACACTTTTCAAGAGTTTAAATATAACAGGGGAAACGTATTGTTTTACTAACCTGTTTTTCGTGCATGATACTCGGCGAAAGGGCAACGGTCACAGTCACCATCACTATCACCATCATCACTACCAAAAGTTTGTGCATCGCTAAATTATTTTTCTATAGACTGTAGATGAAAGGAGAAACAAGAAAAGAAACTTGCTATAGAAAACGCTAGGTGATATGATTTGAAATTGAAAAACAAAAGAAAATGAAGACGTTTCTCTCATGGGTTAAAAAATGATATTGAAGAGGAAGAAAGAAATTAATTCAGCTCAAAATACAGAGTCTATTTTGAGTTGGTACACGCGTCTTTTTTCTTCTTTTTCATTCTAGCATGATGTGTGTGAAGACACACATCATGCTAGAATGAAAAAGAAAAATTTCTGGAGAAATGTATAGTCTCAAAATGTGTGTAATTCATGAATCAGTAAACACAGAAATGGGCTAAACTCTATGGAAATACCGACGTGAAAAAAGATGGATAAACAAGTACACAAAAGAATTGCCACAAAAGAATTGCCTAACTTACCGTAGTCTATTCTTTGGATCCATAGTGGCTTCGGTGTAAATGATGGCAATTTGTACATGTGATTTAAAAATGGGAAAACAAAGCATATGCGCAAATTCCCATCATTTACACTGAAGCCACTATGGAGTCAAAAAAAGACTGCGATAGTGCCTGATAGATGTCTCAATAAACGTTTAATTTTAGAGCCGAGTTAGGCAATTCTTTTTGTACTTTTTTGTCTATTTGTCAACACATTGTGCAGAATTCTGTGATACGATTCTGTATTTACTGATAGAATCTCTTTGATCTTGAAATCTTCTCTCCTTTCCTGGACATTTCTCACCATATTACTCCGCCCCAACGGATCTCACTATATAATATTTTAATGTCTTGTAATAAAGGATTCAGTCTCTCATTCCTGCACGCCCTCCTCTTCCCCGAACAACAACAAACAACATATTTCTTCTTTTGCACAAATTCAGCAATTGAACTATGGTCTGAATACAACTTTCTAACGCCTTTTTGTCATGTTGATTGGCCCCTTTCCTTCAGAAATCAAAAATTGATGACAATTATAAATGATTTTTTTCACCTGCTAAATTTGAAGTACATATATTTCCATTTTCGATAGCACTTTTCAATTTTAAGAAGTTTTTTAAGCGCCACTTGTTGAAACAGGAACAATAATTAGTTGATTCATTTGTTTGAAGCAATGATTTCCAAAATATTTCAATATCGGTGTTTTCTGAATGAGTGTAATTGTGACTCGTCGATATGGTTCCGTCAAAATAATTAATGAAATTGATTCCAAAATTCCGTGAGAAGGAAGATCGAAGAAGAAATGATTCACAGCTAGGTCTACTCCCCTAGTCAAATTTCCGTCAAATTTTGAATCTTATGAAAATATTTTGTCCCTGATTTTTTATGAAGGCGCGAAGTCGGGTAGTCAAAAAAGGCAATTTAGACGCTTTGGTCCATAGAAAGCTATGTTACTGTCAATAGATAAAAGATAGAGCGCAAAAAGTTTGGTACATCGCCAAATTTTCAGAGAAATTCATTTAGCCAATTTCTTCTAATAGGTTTTTATAGATTTTTACAAAAAACGCGTTTTCCACTCTCGAATTTGCTTGTAAGTGAACCGAAATTGTTTTAAAAAGATAGAAAAATGAATAATAAACATTTTTTATTTAAAACAAATTGTAGATGAATTGATGAATTTGTCATTTATAAAAGCTAATTGAAAAAAAACGCAATGACTTGTCGAGTGAAGTCGGGTAGTCAAAAAGGGCGATGGCTCGGTGGCTCGATTCGGTTTAGACACTATTAGCTGAAGAAACCTATCTTCAAGTCAATATATAAAAGATAGAGCACAAAAAGTTTCGTATATAGCCAAATTTTCAGAGAAATTCTTCAGTCAATTTCTTCATACAGGTTTTTATAGCTTTTTACGAAAAGCACGGTTTTCACCCTCGAATTCGCTTGTAAGTGAACCGAAATCGTTTTAAAAAGATATAAAATTCAACAATAAACGCTTTTTATTTAGAGAAAACCATAAGTTAATTGGTGAATATGGGATTTTTCAATGAAAGTACGAAAAAGAACAAAAAAGACTTTCTGGACAGTTCAATATTAGTTTTCAAATCTATTGCATTGAATTGAGTTGTAGAATTCAAATTCAAATTCAATGAATTGCCCCAATTTTCATTAATTATGCTATAATTTGAAACAGAAGTAAGAGTCACTTCCACTCCTGATCATTTCTGATTATTTCTGGCCGCATAAATCTTTACAAAAAACGCGTTTTCCACTCTCGAATTTGCTTGTAAGTGAACCAAAATTGTCTTAAAAGATGAAAAATTTAACAATAAACGTTTTCTATTTAGAGGGAATTGTAGGTGAATTCGTCAATTTTGCTTTTTGAAAAAAGTGCCTTGTCATATTTGAGTATTTTTTCTAGCAAATTGGGTCAGAAAATGTGCACAAACGTTGACTTTCAGCCCAAAAATAATGTTACTTTTGTTGAAAATAAACGCGCTGGCACAAGAAACGATTTGGCGCAATTAATGTCGCATTTCCTAAAAAAATACAAAAATTTTTGCGTTCGGGGGGAATCGAACCCCCGTCGAATGCTTGGAAGGCATCCATGCTGACCATTACACCACGAACGCACAAGTGACTGATGGAAAGAGAAGCTTATAAGGAGGAGTCATTAGAAAACCTGTTTGTCCACCCGTTTCATTTTGAAAAAGAGGAACTTTAGAATTGAAATAAGCGGAAAAACAGCAATGACAAATTTAAAATAAGATTATAAAGTGAAATTATAATAAATATATTCTATCTAAATACAGAAGTTGATCTAAACTTGATAGTTTATCACCAAATGTCGTCGGCACAAGTAGAAATAGAATAGAAATACAGTCGAACCTCGTTAGTAAAGTATGAAAGGGATTCTGAAAAACCGTTTACTATCGCTAGTGGATTTTCTTAAGCGTTTGTTTTTGGTGAGTGTCCAAAATCCGTTTACTATCAAGGTTAGTTCACTATCGAGGTGTTTACTAACGAGGTTCTACTGTAGAAATAGAACCGTCACCGTCAGAAACCCGTCAGAAATAGAACACTCTAACTTAGCCCATTATAGGCTATAAAAGAAGTGTTTTGGCTTCTAGTTTGGCTTGATTAGATTTGAAATATTATCCGGTGGAATAAACCAGTCAACAACCCAGTTTCTGACTATAGTTTCTGGCTTATGACCGATCTTCTTCAATCTTGCATATAATTTCTTTCAGGTCCACTATGTTTTGTTGATCAATCTTTTTAGAATCTTTATCATCTTCACTCAGACACCGCCACAAATGAAAGATTATACAAAAGTGTTACTTTTGCATTTGGTTGGTTAAAATGATAGAGTGAAACCTTGATTTAATCATGTCAATTTTTGGTCCCTTGAAAACTAATTTAGGTTTGCAGGCAATTTTTCTGGAACTTGGTTTAACTGTAGCAACAGCATTTTTTTGTGTGTAATATTTTAAGTGTCTTTAAGTTTTTTAGTTGTCAAAAGCGCCAGAAGGTTTTTACTTTTAGTATTTTAAGTGCCTAATTTGGTTGTGCGGATCTAACTTCCATTACATTAGGTTTTCATTTCTTTCTTGTTTGTTCCTTGTTCAAAAAAGCTTTTTTGAATAGCAAGAATAATTCCAAATTCAATTAATTCTTGTTATTGTTCCCATCGAAGAAAGATTCCTTGAGTTCGTTGGATTTTTTGATGAAATACTGATTGAAATTGTTAGACGTGGATGGCTTCCGAAGGAATAAAATACAGATTATACTGAAAAAGAACTTATTTCATAACACAATAAGATCTGGTTTTAGTCCTAATCAGCTCAGATTTTTATTGTCATCGCCAAAAAAGTTTCAAATCTTTTCGGCTAGCCAAAAAAGTTTGAAAACTTATCGACTACGGCACATACTTCAACAAAGATTATTTTCTAAATACTGCCTATGCTAACTAGATTAATAAGGCATCAATTTGGACCGGCTAACAGCAATTTGCCAATAAATGAAACATCGTTTCGATCAGCTGTTAGTGTCGAATCATTGACAGGCTCGCAAGGTATCCTTAGCTCATCCTATTCATTTTAAAATAAGCTTACAATAATCTTATTAGCTACTAATTTGATGCCTCTTAACAAATGTTACAAAAGTTGTTCAACCTGCTCACAAAGTGAAAAAAGAAGTAATAGGAAGCAGAAGTGAGATAGGTAAATGCATTGTATAAATTGAAACCAAATAGAGCATTCACAATTATTGAAATCATCTGATAAACGATCGAATAACCCAGAAGAACCATTATGGAAGTTATGATCATCTAAAGAAAAAGCTGTATAAAGTAAGTAAAATTAAAACCTGATACATCAACAAGATCTCAGCACGAGAAGCTTTCCCACTTTTCTTCAGCTGAAATTCTTCCATCTTGTTTTTTTTCAGTTCTAAGCTGACTTTTTTCATTTTTCGATGAATCGTGAAATCGAGGGCACACATAAGAAAGAATAAAACATATCGGAAAGTCATATAATAATTAATGGAATATTCACCCGAATATCCGCTTGGGGCACCACTTTGTAACCAGAAAATTGCTTGATTGACAAAAATACAAAGGACAAATGGAAGAGAAAGTTGAACAAATGGCCATTTCAATGTATATCGAAAGTAAAAGCCGTCGAATTCGATTGCCATGAAACGACTAAATCGTGTGCTATTTCTAAGCTCACAAGAGGCCATTTTCACTAACATGATCCGACCATGATCGGCGTATGATCGCTCCGATATTTTGTTGAGCGACGCAGATTGTGATCCGCCTGGATCATGCTCAATCGGATCCAGGAAATGATCAAGGAAATGCTTTGACCTGCGCCGATCATACAGTTTTTGATCCGATGATCGGCTCGGGTGGATCCTTTAGGGGTGGATCATACTTTCTAATGGGAAATTGATTGGCGCGGATCACATCAGCGCCGCTCAAAAGTTTGGTGAAATGTGCTCGGATCGCGCCGACCACGGATCATCAATTTTTTGGTGATTTGCGGATCACGGATCGTGGATCAAGATTGTTGAAATCCGAATCCGATGACCTGCGCCCGCTCAAATGGTTGCTGAAATCGAATCTCGAATCAAAACAGCGCGGATCAAGCGGATCATGATCGAATCATGATTGGATCGGTCAAAAGGAGGTCTTAAAGGAGGCGTGTGGATCAAGGCCGGTTCTACTGAAAAACGTTTTACAGTCGAACTTCTCTATAATGGCCTTCTACATAACGATAACTTCTATTAGGTTGATGCAAAAGTCTTTTTCATTTTTTTCGTACTTCTGTTAAAAAGTAACAAATTCACCAATTAATCTATAGTTTGCTCTATAAAAAAAGTGTTTTTTTGTTCAATTTCCATCTTTTAAAATCAATTTCGGTTCACTTTCAAGCAAATTCGAGAGTGAAAAACGCCTTTTTCGTAAAAATCTATAAAAAACTCTACGGAAAAATTGGCTGAATGAATTTCTCTGAAATTTTGGCGAAATATCAAACTTTTTTTTCTCTATCTTTTATCTATTGACACGAAGATAGGTTTTCTTTAGCTAAGGTGTCTAAACCGCATCATCGAGTTAGCCCTTTTTGACTACCCGACTTCATACTCTCAAGAAAATCCAGGCATAAAATATTTTTAAACCCGTTTTAATGTTATTTTGCAGAAAAATAATTGGTTTTTTTTTAATGAAATCAACCGTAGTTTAATTGGTGCATTTGTTGGCTTGAAACGGCAGACGAAAAAAATGAAAAAGACTTTTGCATCAACCTAATATACATACAACGATGGCTTCTCTGCGTCTCGGCAAAATAAAATGTTAACAAACAAGTTTCTATATAGCAATATTTCTATCTAACGATATTTATTTTTGGTCCCTTGAATATCGTTATAGGGAAGTTCGACTGTATTGGTTATTGTTGTTGTTTTGTTATTGTTTTGTTATTGTTGTTGTTATTGTTATTGTTTTTAGATCCATTATTGGTTGTGATTAGCAAAATTGAGTTGGCACGATCGATCTGATTTGATTTGAAAGTTTTTTGAGCGGTTATAAGTGTCTTCAGCGGCAGTAGAGTGAATTTCTTCCCGATCTTTGAAGCGTCAGTTCTCATTAATTCTTATAAATTCCATAAAACTTTCAAACTAAAATAAACTTTTAGAAAAAAGCGGACAGTCATGTAGTAAAAACTGATCAATTTGGGTGTTCCGCTTTTCACTAAAGGTTATAGTATCGAAAAACACTGTACTCATAATGTTGCGTTTGTTCTGAGCTTTTAAAACATAAATAACACGTGTAATTGAAATTCTATGAGAACTGACGCTTCAAAAATTCGCTGAAGACACTTATAACCGCTCAAAAAAACTTCCAAATCAAATCAAATCGATCATATCAATTCAATTTTGCTAATCTCAACCAATAATGGATCTAAAAACAATAATAATAGATGGTTACCA